TCCCCTGTTGAAGGCCGCCGTGATGTGCTCGGTAAGGCGAAGGATTTGGAGTTCAGTGGAGTGATTGGGTCGGAAGGCGAACTGCTCGTCTGGAATGACGTGCAGTTCTTGGGAGTGGGTTCTTAGACGGGTTAGAATCTCTAGCGAAGTAGCTCGGCTTGCAACTTTTCTCGCATATTATTGTTTACAATCAGCTAGTCAACATGATTACACTGGGCGAGTTTACTAGCAGCATTGTTTATTATATATATTATACATACTATATAAATAATGCTAGCAGCTAGTGAATAGACGATGAAGGGGCCCACCTTCACGAAGCTGCCCAGGCCTACAAACGTGAGGCAGGACAAAGAGGGATTGCTCCCCTCGGTCCCAAAATATCGAGGCCACGCTTAACAACAAAAATAACGGCGCGGAGCTAGTAAACTCGCTCACTGTAATCGAGCCTTAAGAGAATCTTTGCACAAAACCAAAATAACGAAATCGTTGCTAACTGGTTGCCAACCTTACAAACTCAAAATTATTTAAATTGTATCAAAATAACATTTTGGATATGTTCTTATTATTAATATTAGGTGTACTGTGACCTGGGTTTATATTATTTAATTAAAGAGGGTATGGATGTTTTTATTAATTTACGACTCTTTATATAAACACCTAACTAGCAATTAGGCAACTTTTAATACACTTAACTATATTTCAAAATGCATAATCACGAACTGCATCTGATTGGGAAAACATACATACATACGCATGTTTATCAGGCCAAGATAAGATAAATAACTGAAAAATGTACAAAAACAGTTATATTTTATTTAAATAACATATATAATTTAATAAAAACAAATATTAACAATGTTATGCCGGCATTGTGGCTCTGTTACTATATTCCCAAGAGGTATCTTGTGGCGCACTAGGTTGTATATTATAATATTGGCCGTTTCTAACCACCACTTTTCTATTCTTTGCAGCGGCTCTCCGTCTCATTTCCAAATAACCCAAAGACACTATTCCCAAAACCACCAAAAAACAGATAAAGGCAATCAAAATTATCCTCGACACCTCTTCGTCCAATAAAAACCGAACGCACACTCCCGTAACAACAATAATAAGTATAATTACGATAGTCGTTATGACCACACACAAGCTGACTTTATCTAAAACAGAATTATTTCTCAAATAAAAGGAATTATTGGTATATCACTTGTTTCTCTTACCCACTGCTGTTGTTTCTGTACTACCTTTAACGACGGTTTCTTTATTATTCCTTACCATTTTAATTTTGGGTTTGGTTACATAAATATATTATTTATAAATGTTTAATCATTTTTATCTACTATTCCCGTAAATTGATAACCTAAATGAAGGGTAAATAGCAAAATATGATATAAACGCATTTCAGTACTTATCTAAGGCGATATTTGCGCGCGCATATTTATTTTTATTTATTATTCCGTTTTCAAAACAGCCTTATTTACAGTAGAGAGGGATTCAGCTTAATAATAAATCTGTTCACTTTACTATCGCAAATACCTGCTCGCCTTCAAATTTCATCTACAAATTACCAAATATGAACATGACCGATTTGTAGTCTAAAAGTGCATTGGGAAGGGGGGCAAGCAGATTTGTGAGGTTTGATACTTTCCCTTTTCCACCTATTTATGCTATTATTAGCTATAAATAAAATGTACGTAATCTGTAAATGCGTTATGCAACTTAACGAAGTACGTACTCGAAGATTGTTATGTCCCATATTCATGTGGTTGTCGGCTACTACATCTATAATTTCCATCCATTAATTTGCAAATATTAATAAAATACGCAGTAAAATAGTGAGTAATTGGTATAAATTTGAAGTTGAAACTATCTTTTAATTTTTATTATTACGAGAATTAGTAAAAAAAAACAAAAATTATATATTTTTTCCGGTAAGAATTAGAAAAAGGAAATATAAATGCAATAAAATACACTATGTTTTAGCCTCTAAATTAGGCAACTCTTTATCCAGATCTCGCGCAATCTTACTGGGACTCACGAGTTGTTTTTCCTTGGTACAGTTTTGTACTATCGCGTTTTCAACTGATTCATAATAAGAAACAGAATTTTGTTCAAAATTTCAACAGCGGGCTAAATAATTGAGTAACTGCAAATTAATAGTTGGTTGGATGTAATTAATATTAAAATGCCGCGAAAAGCGATTTTGGCTGACACATTAAAAAAAAGAAAATACCTTAGTATTTCTGTTTTTAAGTGTAGGTGTATGCTGACATCTCGAAAAATGTTGTACGTATTGTATTGTAAGTGCGACATACTAAAAACCACATCACCCTTCTATAACTTTCTTGTGAGGCGAGATTTGATATTTTTTATATACATATATATACATTTTTTAATTAATAATAATAATAATAATAATAATATCTCTACTCCTCATTCTAACCACGAGAATTAGCCCAGAAGTCGGAGACTTGTGTGGGAGAGGAGACGGCATATTATTATTAATCAGGCCGCATTTGCGCCCAGGAACGACTTATGTTGGTAGGCCCTAACCACCATTCTGTGCAGGAATGAGGGAAACCTGGAAAACCTCATTAATTAGGGGGTAGTCAAATGCCAACCGGTGTCAATCTCTCACATTGACCCAAGCCAACATTCTTCCACCCTACCATACCTGCACAGAAGGTACCAATCCTCCGTACAAGCATAGCTAATCTACGGTCTACCGGCCGCGGGAATCCAACCAGGGTAGAATAGCACACCTCGATTTAAGTACTGACACCTTAAACCGTGCGGCCATCGACCGACTCGACCTAATTAATTCAACACTCACAAAAAGCCCCAGAAATTCGACACCACTGGATATTTTGAATATTTGATCACTATTTGTAACTCATGATGTTTCTAAGAAAAAATATACATCTATTTCTCTTTATTCTAAAAACAAACCATTTTCGATATATTACTTTTTAAAATTTGCATTACACATATCTCTAGAACTATGTACAGGGTGATTCACTATATTTTGACCCCCACTTTAACTTTTTTGTATTAAGGGTTATTAAAAAATGTGAAATACAAAAGTTGCACGAATTATTATGAATTTTTTGAAAATGATAATTGAAAAACAATTGAAGTTCAAACAAAATGGCCGCTGATGTTTACTTTGTTAATTTAAATAGAACACCCTGTATATTTTTATATATTTGGATAGAACGTTCCCTATCGAGCATAGTCATATAACAATAAGCGAGATACTATTAAAAAACGAGAAGAAGGGTTTTTATTAAGAAAATTATACATCTTGTAATTATTAGACCTCTTTCAGGCATTTCTGCCTTTTTTTCAATTACGTAAGGACTTAGTTATAGTATATTTTGACATATCGGACCTTGATATGGTCCAAAATACGTACAAGATTTTAACTAAATATCACTAATTAGGCCGTGAGAGGCCTAATTACTCATGGACATGTTATATGGTAGGTCGTGACAGTGACAGGTAGTAATCTCATGAAAACATTGTTATTGATTGAAAGTTTGTATTATTATTTAATTAAATTAGGTTACACAGAAGTAGAAAATTGAAATATTATTTGGAATTAAAATATAGAGTATGGAGAACTTTATTTCAATTTTCTACTTCTGTATAACCCATTTTAATTAAATAATAATACAAACTGTCGAAACAATAACAATGTTGTCATGCCATTACCCGTCACTGTCATGGCTTACCATATAACATTGTCCATGAATTAGGCCTCTCACGGCCTAATTAGTGAGATTAATTAAAATACCTATCGCATATTTAGGACCACATCAATGACCGATATGGCAAAATATATTACAACTAAATCTGTAAATCCTTATGTAATTGGAAAAAAGGCAAAAATGCCTGAAAAATGTCTGACAATTACAAGATTCTTATTTTCTTAATAAAAAAAAACATCTTTACGTTTTTTAATAGTCTCTCGCTTATTGTTAGAGATGGACCCAACAAACCCTATATGACTATGCTCGACAGGGGAACGTTCTATCCAAATATGTAAAAATATATAGGGTGTTCCATTTAAATTAACAAAGCGGCCTTTTTGTTTGGACTTCACTTGTTTTTCAATTATCATTTTTGAAAAATTCGTAAAAATCGAGCAACTATTGTATGTCACATTTTTTTATCTCTTAAAATAAAAAAGTTAAAGTGGGGGTCAAAATATAGTGAATCACCCATGTTTCTCAGAAAAAGTTCATATAATTATTTTTCTAAATAAGTATACGATTTTAAACATAATTTAATCATGAAAATCCAGGAAAATAATGCAATTGTTTTCCGGGCCATTCCCACTTCCAGCAAACACAAGAATTACGGCAAACATGGGAACCATTTAAGTCATTGACGGTTTCTGTACCCATGATCTTGTTTGCTGGGTTACTATTTCTTCCCTAATAGCACACGACGTCCATTGGACGTCCATTTAATGTCCATTTAACGTACAGACGTCCATGGACCATAAATGGACATTCGATGGATGTCCATTCCTGGACATATTTTGATAGAACATACATTGGACATCCGATGGATGTCCTTTATGGGACATATTTTGATGGTACATATATTGGACATCCGATGGATATCCTTTATGGGACATATTTTGATAGTACATATGTGGACATTCGATGGATATCCAGTATTGTACATGTTCTGTTATAATTTGAATTTGCCGCTAAAATTCGTGCAGCGCATGTGTATTGAAAAAAAATATGGGTCCAAGCACGCTCACGGTCCAGTCCACGTCCAGAATCCAGAACCAGCCTCTAAAGTTTAAACTGTTCTTTTCTCTTTGACGCCGCTATGCCGCTAATAAAGTGATAAACGTAGATGTGTAAAACCAAACCCTATAGAAGGATTAGGAAACCGAAGTAATATAAATCACATTTTGTAAGTAAATTTGTATTTTCAACTGTTAGTCTATTTGTTGGCTAGGCTAAATTCATAACATTTTTATGTAGACAATTATGTCACAGTATAATGTACCAACAACCGACAAAAGTGGTTTTCGTCTTTAGATAAAGAAGTTTTCATTTTCACTCTAGTTGTTGAGTTTTCTCGTCTTTAGCTATTCTAGGTTAAGTTGAGTAATGTATAAAATGCCCGGGAAAGTTTACTTCACTGTGGTTGTTCTGTGGTCCTGAGTGAAATAATTTATTTATTTATATTAATTGTATCCTTGTTTATAGTATTCATAGCAATACATCTGACCTAAATGTTTAGACAAAAACTTAATAAAACATCTAAACGCCACCAGTTTAGAAAAGCAAAGTAGTTGAGTGATTATGCAGATAGGTACATTGTGCTTCCTCTGCTACATAATAAAGACTTTTAAATATTTTGTTTTATGTGCACTGTATACATATATGTGTATACAACATATTAAGATATAAATTCAGCAGGTACCTACTACTGCAAATTATTTTATGAGTTTAGCCTACAAACCCATTACCAAATTTTATGTCATAACCTCTGCTTGTTTTATTTTATTCTACAGACTAATATACTTCGATAAGTCAAAAATGTCCAATAAATCAACATGGACAGTTGTAAAAATTTTAAAAGACAATTCCGTTGAAGCTGTACCTACAAATTGGTTGTCTGGAGACAAGTGTTTCTGGCCACGCTACCCAAAAGAACGTATCATTAAAGCAGTTAAATTCTGTGAACCAGCTTCATCCTCTTGGGAACAGCATGATATTTCTGCTTTTAGGAATGCCACCTATGGTAAAATATACATTTTTTAAAATTATTGTACGCACCTAATGGTAAATTTTTTTTAGGAGACTACGTAACGGCAAGAAAGAAAAGTCAGAAAGCAGAAACCATATCTGATCTCAATACAGATTCGGAAATAAAAAGAAAGATCAAGCCACCAAATAGATTAGCTGCGTCCTCCAGTACATCTGATTCAGAATCTGATGAATCTGCCCATAGCAGAAACCCGACATCATTCTGTGCTTAAGAAATGTCCTACAGTGGTTTTAAAAGCATTTAGTGAAGGTATGCAAGATATTTTTCTGGATATCAGTGTGTTGGTGGATTATTTGATAACAGTTGAAAAACTATTTCTCCCCTAATTTTATCGTAGAATTCCTAGGGATGTACATATTTCCCAAAACAATCGAGAAAGCAATTTCCCACTTAGCTATTGTTAAATCAATAATACAAAATATCCATTTTTTATTTGTATTTTAATTATTATATTTTCTAATTAATAATTAGGAGAAGAAACAAATACATTAAACAAAATATTACATACAAAAACTTTTTTTCAATAATAAATAATTAAAATGTTACTATTTTCATCTACATGTTAAACAAGTATTCTTACACACAACTTGTAATGCAGGTTAATAATGCTAAAAGATTAAATCTGGATGAAGGTTTATGACTAAAATAAAATGTGAATAAATATTTTTTGTTACAGACAATAATTCACAATTAAATTCATCTGGAATGTGACGTATCAAATAGGTACTTTTGTAAATATTACTGATGGTGGCATAGAAAGTGCAGGCAGTTTTATTACTAGTACACTTAGCACCAAGAAGATAACTAGTGGTAAGATTATATTTATTCGTTACTTGTTAAGGCTTTTTTAATTACTCAATAAGTACTATTTTTTATTTTGTATAGCAGGTGAAAAAGACTTGTATGTGTACATAGAGAATATAATTTAGACAAACCTTAATCTGAACGTTAATATTAACAAAGATATGGAGTGTTAAAGTTGAAATTTTATTTTCATTTTGTAATAATTTCTTAAAAAATCCACAAATTTTTGGAAAAGGGGATGTTTGATGCGACGAATTCAAATTTATTCATGGTTTTTTTTATTACTTATAGAGGGCACCATATATGCGCTGCGCTGGTTGTGTTATTAATGAGTCATAATTTTATAACCCTTGGTATGTTAACTTTTTTTTGTTCTCTTGTATTGTACATACAAAAATGATATACTTTGTTGTTGACAAATAGGAAAAAAGAAAACTTAAGGTAGTACTCCCAAAAATAAGAAAAAAGTTCCTATAAAGATGGGTCCAAAAATACTTTATTTTTTCAAAAAATATTTAAACTTACACTGCGTATTAAGATACATTTCTAATGAAATGAAGCTTATTTGGACTCTTCCGTCTATATAATTTTTTTTCTTATTTTTGCAAATATAGGTACTACTAGTCTCCGAGTATTTATTTATTTATTTATTTTTTTTTGACATTATACATACCAAATGATGTTATTTTTGCATTGAAAAATTATTACAAAATACTGAAAATAAAATTTGTCACTTTAACACCCCGGATCTTAGTTAATATATCAACTTTTCAACTAAGGTACGTTTAGCTAAATCGTAATTTTTTTACATAACGAGTCTGCCATTGCTCTATGTGCACGTACTTATGGAGTAGTTATATATTTGATTGATTCTAGATGCAACTGAAAAAAATTTTCATTGTGAGAATAAAAGAAATCGAAGAAGCAATAAAAAAATATTTAAGAAGGAGTAAGGAAAGGAGTGATGCAGAGGAAAAAAAGAGGAGAAGCAAAGGCGAATAAATTTGATAAACAGTATTGTAAGTTATACAGGGTGATCCAATAGTGAAAATTTTTTGGTAAATTATTGAGCATCAAAGTGCGCAACTTTGCCTCTATTTAACCAACTCTCTATATCTCCTATAGTTACTGAGATAGCAATGCTATTGACTCGATTTTGTAACACCCTGTATATTAGATAGAGAAATAAGATGTATTGGAGAGAATTATATGGATCTCTTAATTATTTATGTATTTGTTATTCCTGTAATAATTAGAAAAACAATAAATACATTATCAAAAGTATTTCTATAATTCCAATGCAGACCTCCATTAAATGTACAAAACAAGACATCTATGGGTAGCACAAATTTGGTACAGAGGCGGACATATTCTGTGGGTCCGAAAGTGGTACAGTAGTGGACGTCCGTGGGTTGCACGAAGTTGTGACATTTGTGCGTCCGTGGGACTTCCAATGGACGTCCATCGAACAAAAACCGGACGTCCGTTGGATGTCCGGACTTCCGACTTTGGACATCCTTTGGATGTTCATAGGATGTCCTTGTGCTATTAGGGTTATAAAACGCAAAATTTCTAAGCCATTAATATTTTCAGACTCGTTATAATTAAGTTTTACTTAAAAGTGTATTTCTAGCAGGAAAAGTCTACTAACTCTTTTTGAGAAACAAGTAATTCCAAAATTATTTCAAATTTCAAGAAGTGTAATGAAATTAAAAAGTAATACATCGAAACTGATTCATTACTATAGAAAATGTAATTTTTCCTTCTTCCACATGTGGAACCTTGAAAACAATTTTATCAATTTATAATGCAGAATATTTTTTTTACAAGTAGTTTTAAATTTGTGAGGTTTAATTTAAAAAATCTCAGCCACATCTAATTTAATTTTTTATTTTACAAATTTTGTTTTAAATTCCTACATCAAGAAAGTTCTCTAGTGGGCCTAAAAATCATCCCCCATAAAAATGATGCGGGTCTCACTATCAAAATATCAATAACTGATATAATTGAACACGAAAAGAGAATCCTTTTTTGATTACATTTAATGAAATAATCAAACATTAAGCGTCTCAAAATTAATTTTAAGTCATGTTCCTTTCTTCAATAAGACTTGTTTTTTAATCTTGACACAACTTAAGTTGCAAAAAAATTATTCTTAAACGAATTTAGTATCATACCTATCAGGTTGTACAGAGCTTTCATAAATGTTTACAAGTGGTGCTAGTAACGAAAATTCCCTAAATCTTGGCGTCACCGATATCAATGATACGTTTGCAATGAATAATGACAAATCGTTATGTCTAAGCTCGAGATAATGTGCTTGTTGATTGATTGAATAGAATCTTGTGAAAAATTACACCAATCACAACCGGTGAAACAGAATGTTGTGTTTTAATGTAATCTTGAACTTATTATTTTAATTTTACCAAATTGTAATAACCAATGTGAAGGAAATAAAATTATTTCAAACAAAACTACTAGTCTAACAAAGAAAAAAAGCTAAACGCATTATGATTTTATGTTGACAGAACTTGCCGAGGCTTCCCAATCTCATGAGGCCCCGGGCTGCAGTGTTTTTACTAAGTAGTCTAAAATATTTCAGAGAGTAACTATTCACATTATTAACAAAAATAATTCCTTTGCAAAATACAGAGCACTGAAGTTTTTTTTTCTAATTTTATACGATTAGGTACTTAAATAAAAAGCAAAATATTAACCACAAAAACATATATTTGTATAAAATTATCTTTTATCGATCATTTTAATCAAACCGTTTCCTAAAATATAAAAGTCCTCTATAACCGCCTCTAAATTAAAAGTAATTTTATCATCTTCTGCCATACCTGCATTTACTCGAGAGACTTTGAAATCAACCTTTTCAAACACTTTCGGATTCCACAACACTCCTATGGTATTCCCGCCATAACTATCATGGAAGAACATCGCGTATTTGCCATAATTCTCTCTAAGCGTTGATAAATACTTTTCCACTGGACTGAAGTCGACAATTGGCAATTTGTCAGCATCACTCTGTTTATATTTTTCCACTATAGTTCTGTTTTCTACGTTCGCAAACACAATTTGTTCAAGCCTACGAGAGTTTATCGCAGATTTTAGGTGTATTAAAACGTTATAACCGTTGAAATTTGGAATGAACAGTTCTTTTATCCCCACGTAGTTCCGTTCCATAATAATTTTGTGGACGAATTCTATACTTACTTTGGCCAGCTCCTTCACCCTGTACAATATTTCTTTTGATGGGGTGTGTTGAGTGAATACCGAGAGACCTCGATCGAAAGGCGTAACAATATATAACGGAGGGAATTGTTCACGATTCTCCTGGATTTTAGCTTCTAGTTCCGTGAGGTCTTCTTTAGATAAATCGTCGTTAAAATTTACTAGTACTATTTGCAGATTCCAGTCGAACTCGACGAAGAACTTTAAAAACCTGAGAAACGATATCTGGGGTGTGTTCGATTGCGGAAAAGCGTCATTTAAATATAAAGAAGCATTTAATAGATTTATTACGATGTCTGGGAAATAAAAACTGTCGATCAGTTGTGACCTCAACCACCTTTTTATAAGTGCCGTTCCCGGTCCATAACTCGGATACATGGATTGTACTCCTTTTAAAGCGCCTACGACTTTCGGCAGCACGTTTAAATTATTTTCCATTTTTAAACTATCCTGTGACTCGGTATAGCAAGTTAGACCGGTTTCTGTGATTTCTTTTTTAATCAGAGCCACTTCTTTTGGTATATAAAGAGAATATCTTAAAACAATTCCTTCGAAGTAGATATCTATAAAGTCAGACGTAACATGCGACAATATATTATGAGTAGTTTGTAGGTTTTTTGAAATTTCTAGGTAAAAAGAGGTTTTGATGTGGCGCAGAGCTTGTAAATTGTTAGGCCACTTTGAGCTGTGTTCTAAGAGAAGAACACATTTTACAGGTTGCACAAAACGTGGTACACATTCGGGATTTTTTTCTAAAAATACTATATTGTTGTTTCGAATTGTAGTTAAAGAGTGGCGTACCTGTAAAAAAAGGTAAAATACATTGTTATACAGGGTATTTGGATCCGAAAAGGCCATACTTCAAAGGTAGCTTTCTTGCATGTAAATAAACAGACTTAGATCAGTTACCTTAGAACAATCTTGATTCCATAAAAAATTAGGGGTGTTCAAGCATTTTTTTAAATTGTTATAGAGAGAGGTACTATCCCTCTCGTGCAGGCACGTGATTGGCTAATGCTCGGACGAAGGGCGGGATCTCCCCACTCTTTCTGTCTACAGTGTCTACACTTTTTAACATGTGGTGCTTCCTCCATCTAGTATATGCTCTAAGGCTAAACATGAATACAATCTTATTTTTTATCCAAAAAATTGAAAGCTTATTTGCTTTTTTTCCATATTATTTGTGTGGTAGAGACTTTGAGAAAATGCAAATGTTTTATGAAACTTCACTTTTTTAATGTAGAAACGGTATACATATTCCGTCGTTAAAATCAAGGTGTATATTATATTTTGATTAAAACATTTTTTGATATTTTCCGATTTTCCCAGTATAAAACAAATTTTTCAATTTGCGAAGATATAAACTTACCAGTTTCATTTTCTAATCATTATCATTTTCTAAATTTGTTGCGAAATTACATTTAAAAGGCTATTTCATTAAATGATGATATTTGAATACAGAGAAGTTAGTCTAAATCGTAAAAAATTCTGCAAGACAAAGTTTAATTAAACTGGAGTCCCCCACAATAATTTTTTTAATGTAAAAATAGAGCATTCCAAAAAAATTGCTATATTTAATTAAACGTTTTCCATCAATAATTTAGAAATATTCGATAAGATTTTAAAAACAATTATATTTTGTTTTGTAGTCTTAAAAAAGGTGATCTGGAGATGGAGACTGCACACCCTGAAACTAGTCGTCATCAAATTATTTGTTAAAAAGGATTGTGATCAATTTTGAGACTTCTGATAATCTAATATCTAGTGAAATTATGAGTATATTTGTAGATAGAAGTATTCATAGCAGCCTCTGTTTCTGATAAAAACAGCTCTTTTAGCTTCCGTAAAAACATGCCTACACCAAATTTCATCGAGATAAATTGAAAAGTGACAGATTATCTTAAAAAATGACATACAAATATTGTTTTTTTGAATACCTATAGCAAAATTGTAAAATACGTGATCTGAATCGATTTGTTTTTTATTCAATGAAGCAACCTTTGAAGTATAGATCATTTGTTTTCCATATCAATATATTTGTGTATTAAATTTACTGCCTAATATTGTAGGTTGCATTTTTATGAATGAATCTGCTTTCACACAAGCTAATGAGGCTATAAAAATATAATTTTTGTCATAAATGCATGTTAAATTATTCCATTGACTTTAATAATTTGTTACTGATTCTCAAACTGTTTTCAAATTATCAAATTTACTTGGCAACTTAAGTTATCACGTACGTTCAGTGAGTCTAAGGTCATGAAACTATTGGTCAAATATCTCTGATAGTTTCAAATCAGTCTTCAACTGCTGCAAAAACAGACCCCAATGTCTTTAAGTGCTATTTTTTAGATGTCATATACAGTACGCGCCTAAAGTATGGAATAAATTCAGTAAAAACGAAACAATTTTTTATTGGAAAAAATCCTCGTACAGGTCGATTTTTAATTTAAAAAATACATATTTTAGCATACAAGGCGATTTTCAACTGTCATTTGTTTTCGAGTAATGACATCATCGACATTTTTTTTAAATAGCAACCCCCTATTTTTTTCCTTGATTCTGAAAGTTCGTTTCATTGTCGATCCAACAGTATTAAAATGTTGCCATCTTACATATGAAAGTTTTCGAGTAAATGACAATTGAATGTTAGAAAACATAAATTTTATTCATTTAATAAATAACAATTCCTATGTCAAGCAAATACAATTCATTGAGTTTTCTACCTAAATTAAGTGTTCGAATTGCCACCCACCGACTTCTTGACAATACGCAAGTATGTGTAGAAATTCTTCTTGCACATTATGAATTATTTCTGGGGTAACTCTGTGTATTTCATCTATAATACAATTTTGGAGTTTTTCTAAATTATGTGGTCTATTAATGTACACTTTGGACTTTAAGTAGCCCCATAAGAAATAGTCCAGGGGTGTAAGATGTGGGGATCTCACAGGCCATTCTATCGGTCCTCGTCTGCCGATCCACCTCCTAGGAAAACAATTGTCCAGAAAATCTCGAACAGGGCGTGTATAGTGCGGAGGTGCACCGTCTTGCTGAAACCATATGGTGTCATCAGAAATATCAGGGTCATTATCGTTGGAAAAATTACTGCAAGCGCTGGAACAAGGTCATTTTGTAAAAACTCTAAATATCTTTCTCCTGAAAGGATTCCTTCAAAGAAGAAAGGACCTACTATTCTGTTGTCAAGTATTCCAGCCCACACATTTAATTTCTGTGGGTGTTGGGTATGTGTCTCTGCCATCCAATTAGGATTTTTCCGACTCCAATACCTGCAAGTTTGACGGTTCACTGTATCATTGAGACAAAACGTGGCCTCGTCTGAAAAAAGTATTTGCTGGTGTATACTTATCAAAATGTTCTGTTTGTGATCTTCACTAACACTTGGACGTCCAGGTTTTGGAATATCTACAACATTGCCAGTGTCTCTAAAGTTAGATTCTATCTTACTGGATGTTTTTCATTAAATAAATCGCAAACTTCCTACTGCATTCTAGTCTTATCCCCGCATCCGATAAGAATTAAAATTTCAATTCTTTGTGTGACAGTTAAATGTGCCATAATACTTTAAATTCAACAATAATTTTTATATCGCTTACAATACTTAGAAAGTCGGTGTGACAGTGACACTTTGTAAAGATTTACAGCTACGTGATCCATAAAAAACTTCAGGCATTTCGAAAAACTAAATATGATAACGTTTTTGCTTTATTTTAATTGATTTCGGTTTTCTAACATTCAATTGTCATTTACTCGAAAACTTTCCTATGTAAGATGGCAACATTTTAATACTGTCGGATCAACAATGAAACGATCTTTCAGAATCAAGAAAAAAAATAGGGGTTGCTATCTAAAAAAAATGTCAATGAAGTCATTACTCGAAAACAAATGACGGTTGAAAATCGCCTTGTATGCTAAAATATGTATTTTTTAAATAAAAAATCGACCTGTTCAAGGATATTTGCCAAAAAAAATTTGTCTCGTTTTTACTGAATTTATTCCATACTTTAGGCGCATACTGCATTTTTGTCCACAAATATTGCAGACTCAATTACTTCACACTCACTTTACTTTATGACCACTGTCTGATTGTAGCAAGTCTTACATAAAATATCACATCTAAACGAAGACATTTTTCCTCTAGAAACAAGTTTGTAAAACTGCATTTTATAACGAAGTCATTGGAAAAATCGTTTAAATACAATTTACTTTAGGACTAAATGAATATAAGTTAATGAATCAAAAACAGGAGCAATCAAAGATACTAACCTCATAATTGGCAGGTATAGGGGGAAACAATTCTGTAAAGTTGTAAACGTCAGAAACTCCTTGAATTCCAGTGATTTTTAAAGACATCTGCAATGCTCGTAGTCTTTTTCCCAATTCATCCGATGCTTGAATTATCCTCAAACAAGTCTCTTCGTTTGTCCCTGACGGATACGATGGAACCAATTTTTTACTGATTAATACCTCATCAAATTCATCATAATACACTTTGTTCTTTAAATTAAGTTTTTCCGTAGTAACAAAATTCAAAATTTTCTTAATAATGTTCCTTTTGCCCTTCACAGTGTTTGTCCTAAAATAAACGGCTACGTTTGTACTACCGTCGCGAAACCTCCTGTCACTAGACAGGTGCCCCCAAAATTTCCTAAAATCGGCAGCTGCGACATGATCGTTTAATGCGGGCCCCACCTCCATAAAACTAAAGGCTTCTTCCGGATTCAAGTTTACGCCAAACAAAAATCTGTTCAACATGTTCTCGCCATCTACTTCTAATCTAGGTACAAAATGTAAGACTCTTTTACTTAGGGCTCTCTGAAAAATCCTCGATATATAGTCGACGATTAACAAATGTTTGTATCCGATATACTTTACTTTATCTGCATCTTTTATATCGTATTTGTCGTTTAAAGGCAGAGATTCACTCAGATCTATCACAAGATCGTACTGTAAGTAAAATGGAAGTTTTCTAAGAAATAGTAGTTGAAATGAATTGCTTCTATTATCGTTTAAACATTTTATCGCCCACTGACATTCCAATTTTATCTTTTTATATATGTCCATGTTCAGAAATGCAGCTACGTTATAATAACCCGTTACATCAAGACACACAACTTGAAAGTGTTTCTTAAAAACATCCAATACATTTTTTGATAGATCTGAAATACTTATAGGGTTGTTCTCCAAGTCAGACGTACCAATAAAGTTCCAAAGATTTCTTACGACTTGATAGGAGCTCATGTATTTGTTGATTTTATTTTTTGAAAACAGGTAAGTAATAAAATACAATATTAAATCTTCTGTAAACGATCCTATACCAACATTAAACTCTCTTTGACGTAACCAGATGCATAAAAGTTTTACAGCTTCTTGAACGTTGTTTTGATCTGCTAGAGTTTGCTGTATGAATTTATTATTAGCTGATAATGTTACATCATGAGCTAAAGCACTGTTGTAAAGGCTAGTAGGACTATTTCGCAACACTTCGCTATCTAAATTTGTATTAAAAACATCTTGTTTTATATTATTCGTTTCAGGAAGAAACCTGATCATTTTAAAAGTGTCTTCTGAAGGAGATGCATAGATAGTTACAATTGTTTTATCACAATCTGTAGGTTCAACCTTTAACACTGGTAGCAACGAGTTTAATTCATGGAAATCTATTGTAACGTTTGTTGCGATATTATGCGACTTCAAATTTTCCGCAACATACAGCAAGTAGTAATAACGTTTACAGAAATAACGATTGTTTAAAAAGTCTTTTACGATGAAACAGTCTTTAGGCATAACTAAATTTATATTCAATAATAAGTCGGGTCCTGGTAAAGAGTTGTTTTCGTATAAACCAAATTTTTCAAATGATTCTGGTTTTGTAAATTTTAACGTTACATCCTGATCACATTTAAAGAATTGATGATATCCAGATAATTTGTTTAACAATTTTTCTTCATCAGATATTTTTCTTCTCTTCATCATTTTAATGTTCGACAGTAATATAGTATAATCAGGAAGCTGTTCTAATGTGGACTGAAAGGACTTAAGCCAAGATGTAATGTTTTTATGTCTCTTATTTTTTATTTTTATCTCTGAAACTAATTCTTCTATTTGCAAACGAAAAAGACTATTGCTGTATAAATTTTCTGTCTCTTTCCAATTACGGATTTCTTGAACTGATGGGGGTTTTTCCTCCTTTTTTCGTTTTTGAGGCGAGCGACTTACTTTATCCAAGCTCATATCTTCATGGCTACGCTTTTTTCCATTACTATGTTGACTTTCATACTCTACACTTGTTTCTTCCTCGGTAAAATCATTTTCGGAACCGCTCTCTTCCTCAAAATCATCTTCTGGCTCCATATTAAATTATGACAAATAATAATTATTAAGTGTTCCTATTTGTTTCTTACTGCAAAATCTCAAATCAGTGGAATGTGATTTAAATATATCTTATACTTACAAAAAAAGAAAATAATTTCTTTGTACAATAATAAATATACTTTATTAGTAAAATTAATAAAACTAAAGTAGATGTTATTTCAAATACATGCACGTTGGACGATTTAATTATTAATATTTGAGGTTAGGTTATACTTAAAATCTCTTCTTCTTCATTTTCTTTGTCAATATCATTGACTATACAAGTAGACATGGAATGAGATGAGACTCATGGGGCTCCCTTATGTCTACAATGATTGGCCGCCTGTTATCATTTTTTTTCGATTAATTACAAATTATTTTAAGACAAATAAAAGCATGAAAATAATAGTTAATAAAGAAAAGCTGTTACTAGTAATCAAATTTGCAGAAAATCATGAAGTACCTTATAATTACTAGATGTGGCAGATGGCACTACTATTAAATAAAGTCCTTATTGACCAAGTACTGTGATTGTGGTACACTTTATCAATACCTAGAGGGATTTTGCACCAAAATGTGGCAGTTGATTGCGGTATTTTATAAATACCTAGATAGTTTTAAATATTAGATATCTAAGAATTTTCATATTAAATAAAGTCCCTTGATCAAGTACCGTAAGCGATGGATGATTGTCATTTGCCATAAAAAGGCAGTTTGACATATGTCAATTTGTACTATTTATATAAAAAAAACTATCAAAATTTAATTCCTGTAGTATTTTAGATATTAGATTATTATGTATGTTAAAAATACAAATGAAAATTATTTGACTATATGAAAATAATTGAAAATTCAAACTTCAGTATATTTCAAGTTGGCAATAGGGAATTTTTGCCCTAGAACGGCAGTCGATTGCGGTACTTTATCAATATCTAGAAACTTTACTACCTCAAAATTTTTCTAAAAAAATTGTGAATTTTAGGCAATTACCTTTACGCTAGACGCGTATAGTAAGTTGCATAACCAATACAATTTTAATTGATTAGTAAATTGAGTAATAAATATAAACTAATATATGAATATTTCTAGAGATGTAATAAATAATATGTTTTATTATACATATTCTCCTGTTCAGATACATACTAAAGGTCTATGTTTCCGCAAAATATGAATCAACTTACTCATCAACCAAATTCGAAAGGATAGATAGGTACCCATTCATTAATAAATTATTGATGATTAGTGTAACTTATTGGTATTGTATTTGGCCAGTTTTATGGAATTTTAACTGATAATACATAATGTAACTAATCGAAATATCCTGTTTGCCTTTCTCTACTTTATCCTGGGTCTTCAGTTATTGTAAGTATTGTTTACTGACATGAATGACATTTTAATCTTTTTTATATCTAGCTTTAATTAACTATAGATTATCAATACAAGAGTCAATATCTATATCACCTTTCTTTACAAAAAAATATTTTTTTTCGCATTGTAATAAATGATTTGCATTGCAGCTAAATTCCGATGTTAAACTGAACGTTTGTGTCAAGTGGAGTGGCTAGTACTACACTACAGTAGGAGTAGAGTTGTATCCGGTTATTTTAATACAATACAAATCTAACATAAAAATTATACGGATTTGATTTAGGAGTGTTCAATGCATGTTCTTGTCTTGTGTTGTACAGCCAGCTCATCTACTCATCTGCCTTCGCCTCTAGCCATCTGTAAGCTGAAGGGAGTGGGGCTCAATAGCTGAGTAAAGTTTCTCCTCCACCTCCACTACACAAACACAAACACAAACTAAACTAACTATTCGGATTCGGCAGACAACTACTTACAAAGTCGTTCAGCACAAGCAGCGGTCTGTGTACCTTTCTTGTCGTGCATTAGTGACGTTTTCGCTGAAAAGGGTGTTAAAAGTGAAGTGTCTTCCGTAAGTTCTCTGCAAAATACTACCTGGTTCTTTATTGGGATTTACCAGCTGCCTGCAATTACCGTAAGTCATTTATAATAGGAGTTTCACTGACCTATCTTTACTTTTTGTTATGATGCGGTGCAGAAGGTCGTTTTGCTTATCGTTTTTTTTCATGTTTACGCTTATTTAGATAAGAATCATTTAATTCCAGTGTTAATGACTTCTATAATAAGTCGGCCCTTTTAAATAAAATGCACTTTGATAACATTTTATAGCAGAAAGAAAGGGATAAAGTTTCAAATTTCCATTGATTGTATCATGATTCTAGGTATTTTATGCGTATAATATACTAACTATAAGTAAACGTTATAGTAAACATTAAACAAGGAACTACAAACATGGACATAAATAATAATCTAATAATAGTATTATTTTAAAAATTATAAGAAATATATTTTTTTATTTAATTTTAGTAGGTATACGTTTACTTAACTTGATACTTTTTTATGTTGTATATTTATGCACTATTGAAATGTTATTTAAAAAAAAATAATTTTCTGTTTGTTTTTTAAATTTTTCTTTCACATGATATTTTTAACATATTTTTTCAACAAACGGGAAGAAAAAATAATATATTTTTTTTCTAAAGTATTTTTTTATACAGGATGTCCCAAAAGTGACGCCCGTCCTTCTGGGATTTGAATGAGGAGACAAAAAGGAATTGAAAATCAAGTGGAAAATTTTCCGATTGTTTTTCTTTCTTGAGTTATTGAAAAAATTATTCAAAAAAACTAAAAAAATTAAAATCCAGTTTTTTATCTCAAAGACAAATAATTTATAACTAATAGTAGGCACGTATAGTTTCCGATTGTCGGTTGTACCTGGGTGTAAGGAATTATTTTAACCTGAAAAAGATAAAGAAAAGCATTTTAATAATAAAACAGTTTTATAAAATGGAGAGGAAAAAACTTATAAACTAAAACCATAATGTGCTTAAATAATAGAAATTGTTTTTACAAAAGGTGTTCAAATAAATTGCTTTCTACTTCAAGATAAAGATTATCACGATTCAACATTGAAGTATGAACTCTTTGTAACATCTCTTGGTTTATTAACGCAACAGCAGCGTGTATACGGGCTTATACATTTTCTGGATTTACAACAGGTTCGCTGTATATCTTTTCTTTTAAATAACCCCAAAAGAAGGGAATTCAGATCTGGTGATCTACGAGGCCATGGTCCCCCTCTTCCGATTCATCTGTCTGAGAAGTTTTGATTCTGATAATTTCATACTCGTAACCCATAATGTGATGGAGCTCCATCATGTTGAAACCAATAATTTAGTCTGCTAACGGAACGTCATCCAGCAATGGCAGCTGCAGCAAATACAGCTCTGAACTACATAATTATTTAATAATCCAGCCCAAATGTTTATTTTTAGTTACTTTTAGAATTACTCAATAAAGAAAAACAATCGGAAAATTTTCCACTCTTGATTTTCGATTTGTTTTTGTCCCCTTAATCAAAACCCAGAAGGACGGCGTCACTTTTGGGACACCATGTATACTTAGTTGTTTTAAATTTTGTTTGGTCTGGTTTGTCGTCTGAATTCGAGTCTGAATCAAATCTGTCGAATGAAATCGGCAAATTCTTTAAAAAATTTCGTATGGAATTTGTATCCGTAATTGATTGTAATTATGTGTCATCCTTAGAGAGAGCATGCACTTGATCGATGACACATACTTAGTAATTTACCATGAATTATTTCTATGATTTTTTTTGCTACAGAAAAGTAATTTTGATAAATCAAAGGAGCAGTGCTTTTGTGTTAAAAATAAATAAAATTTTTCTACTCCTATATGCGAAAGTAAGGATTTTTCTCGGAATTTTTCTCGGAACTTTTTCAGGTTTTAGTCTACACGAAAGTGACATTTTCTCTCTCAAGCCTCTTATAAGAGACGAAAATGGAAATAAATTGAATTTGCATGCTTTTCTTTGTCAATTAACTTAATTTTAACGGTTAATGTTTTGTTTTGTATACATATTAAAATATTTAAAATTAAAAGACACTTAAATTGAACATACAATTGTATAGGTATGAGAACTATTTTTTTATAGAAGAAAACAGCATTTTCATCTCTTATTGCAAGATATAACATTTTTTTTAGTGTTTAATTGTAACTTTCCCTAAAATTTATAGTTTTATACAATGCAATATAATTACAATAGACATTTTCTTATATTGAATACACGCTACCTATCTAATCAGAACAATAAGCTCACTTTTGAGATATTCCCTTGGACTTTTAAATTAGGCGCATGAATATTTGAACCGCTTAGAAAATGTAAAAAATAGAAAGCAACCAGTAGAAAGCAATTAAGTGTTTGTTTAACGTATTCATTAATTTGATAGATAAAATAATCACGAAATATCAAGATGTGTGTGATAGATACATATCTACATTCTACAATCGCATTAATATCATTTTTTTCTTAGCTCTAATGGTAGTACATATGTAAATGTATTTGCATAATAGAAGTACCTACATATTTCTTTACCACACCTTTTCCATGTGTATTCCAATTTGTCATTTTTAAATCCTATTTTTTTCTAAGATAACGATTTAAATAAGTTTACATGTTTTGAATTAACTGACTCTTCTAAAGTAGGTAATCTCATAAAAATTTTATGTAAAAGTACGCCACAGTATGTAATGTAAAATTACATAATAGAAGTAAAGTTATATGAATCATCTGTTTTTATACTCTTTGTGTAATTCGCCCAAAATGTAAATTTACATTATCGATTATTTATTTATTTATTTATTTAATTACAATATCCAACGGGCAATGCCCTGTTACAGGATAAGGTTACAAGATAAAAAAAAAAGTAATAAAAATAGGTGAAAGAGATAAAAACTATTCTTAACCAAAATAAATATCACAAAACATAATATCTAAAACAAACAGGGAACAGACATATAATATTAAAATGCTATAATACAATACAAACAAATGCAAAAATATATTTATACAAACATAAAGTTCAAATTAAAACTTTTTTAATTTGAGAAATACTGGAGCAGAGTATATCAATGCGAGATTCAATATTAGAATAACCAACAATCATTTGGTGAATTGGAGACGCTTTATATAAATTAGTACGATGATTCTTGATCGCGAAGAGGTGTAAATGTCGGGTATACGTTCTAGGAATATGAAAATTTATCATTTGTAATATATCTTCACATATAATGTTATTATTCAAAATCTTGTATAAGAAAATAACAGAATTTAACTTGCGTCTTTGAGACAAGCTACTCATATTGAAACGCTTGAAAAATGCTTCCTGAGGAAACCCTTGAGGCGGATACTGGCCATCAATAAAAAATGTAGCTGATTTAAAGAATCGGCGTTGAATTTTCTCAATAGATATTATGTGTGTAGCGTAGATAGGTGTCCAGACTACAGAGGCATACTCAAGTTTAGATCTAACAAATGTATTAAATAACAAACAAAAAGTATCAATTTTCATGAAATTGCACATGTTCCGAACAATAAAACCCAAACTTTTGTAGGCATTCATTACCACAATTTCAATATGCTTGACAAAAGATAATTTAGGGTCAAAATATACGCCCAAATCTTTAACAAGGTCAGGTCGTTGAAGGGCAAACCCATTCAGACTATACTCATACTGAATTTGATCGCATCGTCGACTAAAAGTCATGACATTACATTTGGTAGAATTCAGAGGCAGCCTATTAGCAATGCACCAAGAGTTAATAAAATCTAGATTACGTTGAAGATTGATGGCATCAAATACATTATCAATTTGAGAAAATATTTTTATATCATCGGCGTATAACAAATAACGCACATTCAGTTGAGAAGTGATATCATTAATAAATAATGTAAACAACAAGGGACCAAGAATAGAACCTTGCGGAACACCTGAAGTCTGGGCAAATTCAGTAGATTTAACACCAGAAATTTGAACAAACTGAGTTCTGCCAGTGAAATATGACTTCATTAGTTCAAGAAAGTCTGACGATAGTCCAAAAGCGCTTAATTTATCCATTAAAAGTCCATGGTCGAGACGGTCAAACGCCTTCGAAAAATCTGTATAGACTACGTCTACTTGGCTTCCCCGATCTATAGCCTCGCTGATAAACTGAGTAATGCATACTAAATTAGTGACTGTCGACCGTCCTTCCATAAACCCATGCTGTTCAGGAAGTATAATATTTTTTAATTGAAAGGAGAGGACACGATGTATAGCAGTTTCAAAAACCTTACTGAAGTTACACAGTATTGCAATAGGTCGATAATTAGCGATATCATTTTTACTTCCTTTTTTATATACGGGGCATATTCTTGAATTTTTCCATTGATCAGGGAATGTATGTGATGTCAGAATTAAGTTAAATATGGTGAAAAGAGGCTCTGAGAAGACGTTAGCACAGTCTCTAATCAAGAAAGCGGGTATTAAGTCCGGACCCATAGTCATTTTAGGCTTTAATTGTTTGATAGAAAATAATACATCATTGAGAGAAATAGAGTTATATGCAATAGTAAGTGCATTGTTATACGAACGCTTGTCTTTATTGAAACTACTAGATGCGATAAACGAAGTTGAAAAATAGTCTGCAAAACCATCAGCGATTTGTTTGTTGTCACTACACGATATATTATTGTAAACCATTGTAGATGGGATAGTTGAGTTACCTCTCTTTGAGTTGACGAAGGTCCAGAACTTTTTTGGATTTGATTTCAATTCTAATTCCGTAGCAGAGATATAATTTGAGTAAGCTGTTTGACTTTTGTATTTCACGGCGGAACGCAACCGCTTATATGTATTATAATCTTCCCCATTTAAGGAGGACCGATATGTGTGCCACGCATTATTCTTCAGCTTAATAGATCTAATTAAATCACCATCAAACCATGGCGGATAGCATTTATTAGAAAATATCTTACGTGGAACATGTTTAATGAAAATTGAATTTAATATTTCATAAAACTTAAAAACAAGTTGATTGACACACGTAAAACTTTTTAAAGGAGACCAGTCAACCAAT